TAAAAACGGCAAATGAGCTGGGATTTCTCCATGGCATCAATGTCTTATGATTATTGCTCTAATAAAAATATGTGAGCTTAAGCAAGTGGCCCAGTAAGGCTTCATTGCTGAAGAATGACGAGCAATATAACATCAAAAGCAATCCCGTTTTACGGCTAATTTGCCTGGGATTTTGGTGCGTGCTACTCACTGATAATCAAGGGCCAGTCATCAAAGAATCCATAGGACAGTAATGAAGGTTTGAAGAAAACTCTTAATCCGATGGCTATAATACAAGTGCCTTGCTATAATACAAGCTTTGCCTTCAAAAGCATAATGGAAGTCAAAAAGACGTAAATGCCTTTTTCTTCCATAGAACAGTGCTGATAAAGAACGTGCCCTTCGAGGGAGCTTACATGTGTCTGGAAGAATACGGAAGCAACTCTTCACAGTAAATATTGATGCATCAAAAAACTTCAAACCCAAATTGATCATAATGTGAAGTTACCTGAATTCGGCATTATCTTCGCGTGGAACGATCAAGATAAAGACCTAGAGAGAAATATGTATTGTAATTACCCTGTAAAAAGCTAATTGTCTGTTGCCCTTTACATGTACAGAAATCTATATAGATGTTCAATGTCATTAATAGATTGAGAGAGCACATTCGTTATATCGAGAATATTCACGAGGCATTCATTTATGGATTAAGTAAGGTACCGTGGAATTTCCACTTTATCTTCTTTCAACGGCAACGCACGCGTGCATGCAGGATAAGTTCTGCGTCACCAGTTGACGAAGCGCGTCTTCTTTGGGCTAAAGTGCTATGGCCTTAACAAAGAAGGGAAGAACTTTGATTAGCGCTATATGATGAGTCAAAGGACGCCTGCAAGTGTTTGATAAAAGCCGAGAAATTATGAGAAGTAAAAAAGTGTGTGTCGGAGTGCTCAGGTGTGTTTCCACCGGAAACTTAAATCGCGGTATGGCGGCTTTTTGTTCTCTTAATCAAAGATTTTGCAAACTTTATCTTCTTGACTTCGCCATCTTCATCCCGAATCGGCTAGCGGTTCATCTCTTTCGTTCAGAAGAATGGGTTTGAGAGGGCTCTTGAGAATATACGAAAGTATGGCAAAGAGGAAGCTTCTTCGGAGCTCCAGACTTCAATCTGTTCTCTGCATTATTCAGAAACGGACTGCAGCTTGTCTTCTGGAGACCCTGATCTTCATGCCCACATAGGAATTCAAATGTTATTTGATATTATTTTATCGAATGCTATCTCAACTAATTTGATTATATTTACTGTGAGACAATAGAATCGTCGTGACTATGATCTTGCAACTCAAAAATGAGTATTTGGGTATGAGTTTCCGGATGGTAGTCATGGCTTCCTACAGTGCATAATGTCAAAGCAAGGATATTCGGACTTCATCTTCCAGATTCTAAAGGCGAACTCGGTGGCATAGTCACATTCGGTGGAATAGACCGCGAGAATTGCGGGGATGT